AAATGATATGACAAAAAATTGAACAATCTTTAAGAAATGGATAAATTCCTAGAATCTCATAGCTTCCCAAAACTGAATCAAGAAGGAATAAAAAATTTGAACAGATGATTGCCAGCAATGAAATTGAATCAGTAATAAAAAAAATCCCACAACAAACAAAAGTCTTTGGCGCCCCTGGGTGGCTCAGTAGGTTAAGCCTCTGCCTTCAACTCAGATCACGATCTCAGGGTCCTGGGATCAAGCTCCCATTGGGCTCTCTGCTCAGCAAGGAGTCTGCTTACCCCACTCTCTGCCCGCCTCTCTGCCTACTTGTTATCTTTGTCTGCCAAATAAACAAATAAAAATCTTAAAAAAAAAAAAAAAAAAAAGGTCTAAGACCAGATGGCTTCACAGGCGAATTCTACCACACATGTAAAGAGGAGTTAATATTTATTCTTTACAAACTATTCCAAAAAAATAGAAGAGGAAGGAAAACTTCCAAATTCATTCTATGAGACCAGCATTACCTTGATACCAAAATCAGATAAAACCACCACAAGGGGCGCCTGGGTGGGTCATTGGGTTAAGCCGCTGCCTTCCACTCAGGTCATGATCCCAGAGTCCTGGGATAAAGTCCCACATCGGGCTCTCTGCTCAGCAGGGAGCCTGCTTCTCCCCCTCCCCCTCTCTGCCTGTCTCTCTGCCTACTTGCGATCTCTGTCAAATAAATAAAATCTTTAAAAAAACACACACAAAAAAAAGAGAACTACTGGTTGATATCTCTGATAGTTATGAACACAGAAGTCCTCAAGAAATATTAGGAACTGAATCCAACAATACATTAAAAAAAAAAAAAAACTATTCATACCATCAAGTGGGGTTTATTCCTGGGATGCAAGAGTAGTTCAATATTTGCAAATCAGTCAATGTAATAAATTACAAGAGAAAGGATAAAAACCATATTTCAACAGAGGCAAATGACAAAGTACAATTTGACAAAGTACAATGACAAAGCAATCTGACAAAGTACAACATCCATTCATGATTATAAAAACAAAGTAGGGTTTAGAGAGAATAGGTCTCAACACAATTAATGCCATTAAACACACACACACACACACACACACACACACACACACAGCTAACATCATACTGAATGGTGAGAAACTGACAGATATCCTCAAGATCAGGAACAAGGCAAGGATGCCACTCTCACCACTTTTATTCAACATAGTACTTGAAGTCCTAGCCACAGCAATCAAACAAGAAAAATAAATAAAAGCCATCCAAAGTGGTAAGAAAGAAGTAAAACTTTCACTATTCACAGATGACATGATATTATATATAGAAAACCCTGAAGACCACCAAAAATTAGATTAAACACTACTAGAACTGGTGAATAAATTCAGTAAGGTCGCAGGATACAAAATCGATACACAGAAATCCACTGTATTCTATACACTAATAAACCAATATAAAATGAGAAATTAAGATAACAGTCCCATTTACAATTGCACCAAAAATAATAATATATCCAGTAATAAACTTAAGGAGGTAAAAGACCAGTACTCTGAAAACTATAAAACATTGATGAAAGAAACTGATAATGATACAAACAAATGGAAAGATAATTCATGCCCATGGATTGGGGAAACAAATATTGTTAAAATGTCTATACCATACAAAGCAGTTTATAGATTTAATGCAATCCCTGTCAAAATACCAACAGCATTTTTCATAGAACTAAAACAAATAACCCTAAAATTTGTATGGAACCACAAAAGACCTCAAATAGCCAGAGCGATCTTGAAAAAGAATAATACTGGAAGAATCACAGTCTCAGATTTCAAGAAACACTACAAAGTTGTACTAATCAAAATAGTATAGTACTAATACAGAAATTGACACAGTTATCAGTGGAATAGAATAGAGATCTCAGAAATAAACCCATAATTATATGGTCAATTAATTTTCACCAAAGCAGTATAAAGGATATAAAAAGGGAAAAAGTCTTTTCAACAAATGGTGCTGGAAAACTGGACAGTTAAATGTAAAAGAATGAAACTGGACCATTTTCTTATACCAGACACAAAAACAAACTGAAAACTGAATACCTAAATGTGAGACCTGCAACCATAAAAATCTTAGAAGAGAACACAGGCACCAATATCTCTAACATTGGCCATAGCTACATTTTTCTCAATCTGCCTCCTAAGGCAAGGGAAACAAAAGCAAAAATAAACTCAGGACTAAATCTTCTACACAGCAAAGGAAACCATCAACAAAACTAAAAGACAATCTGCTGAATGGGAGGAGATATTTGCAAGTGACATATCCAGTACAGGTTAATATCCAAAATATATAAAGAACTTACAAAACTCAACACCCAAAAAACAAATAATCCAACTAAAAATGGGCAGAAGATATGAAGAGACATTTCTCCAAAGAAGATACACAGATGGCCAACAGACACATGAAAAGATGCTCAACATCACTTATCACCAGGGAAATGCAAATCAAAATGACAATGAAACATCACCTCAAACCTGTCAGAATGGCTAAACTAAAATAAAAAACACAAGAAACAAGTGTTGGTGAAGATGTGGAGAAAAAAGAACCCTCATGCACTATTGGTGGGAGCGCAAACTTGTGCAGCCACTGTGGAAAACAGCATGAAGATTCCTCAAAAAATTAAAATTAAAATTACCATGTGATCCAGTAATCGCCCTACTGGGTATTTACCCAAAGGGTACAAAAGCACTAATCTGAAAACATGTATGGACCCCTATGTTTACTATAGCAGTACTCACAATAGTTGCATCATGAAAACAACCCAAGTATCTATTGATAAATGAATGGATAAAGTAAAAGTGGTATGTATATAAACACCACACACACACACACAATTACTCAGCCATAAAAAAGAATGAAATCTTGCCATCTACAACAACATGGATGGATCTAAAGGGCATAGTGCTAAGTGAAATAAGTCAGGCAGAGAAAGACAAATATCATATGATTTCACTGGTATGTAGAATCTGAGAAAGAAAACAAAGAAAAAAAAGAGATAAATCAAGAAACAAACTCTAACTATAGAGAACAAACTGATGGTTACCAGAGGGGAGTTGAAGAGATGGGTGAAATAAATAAAGGGGGTTAAGAGTAAACTTATGATAAGCACTGAGTAGTTTGTAGAATGGTTGAGTCATTATGTTGTGTACCTGAAACTGACTTAACACTGTTAGGTTAATTATACTGGAATTAAAGTTTTTAAAAAATTAAAAATTGTACCTCCCTTGCACTGTTTCATCTATATCAGAGGTACCATTACCTTAAAAGATAATAGCATTAATCATAACAATTTTCTAAATTTAGGCAATATATGATATCTCAAGTCTGTACATAAAGTTTCAAGCAGTTTAAATAAACAGTTTTTAAGCATGGTGCGAAGTATTTGGGTGTGGGGAGATATTTCTCATGGCTGGAAATTAACATATGACAGGACTGACTAATCATTTGTACTTTTAGGCACTCTCAGAGGAGCTTTATGTATTGCTCAGTTCCTTTCCGTTTTCCCTTTCCATAGATGAATCCAGATATACTTTTCTGATTCTAACTTCCACAGTCTATTTATGTATTTATCAACTGAGAAAACTATGTTTTGAGCACCTAACATATGCCAAGCACTCTGTTACATACTAGAGATAGGAATGTACAGTACATCTGGAGATAGAAATAATTATACAGAGAACTGTAATATAGCACGGTAAGTGCTCATAATAATGACAGTATGTTATGAACATTGTCGGAGCAAATATCCCAGCCATTTGCCCTAAGCAAATTGGTAGCAATTAGAAGATTATAAGTTGTTGAATAAAATTAGATTTATATTTTTGAAAGATTGCTATATGTATGCTGTTGCAAATGTTATTAGAAGGGAACAGGAATCAAAAAAGAAAAAAAAAAGAGTATGTTTCCCATGGAATCAAATAATTCAGAGAGCACAAGTTATAACAACAATAATGACAATATTTAAAATATAGCAGTTAATAGAATGTGTTATGCTTTATATTCATGATTTTAAATTCCCACAAGCAAAGAGTGAAATAAGTCCTGCTTTTAGTCCCTGCTCTCTCCCATTCAGCATATGAGGAAAGTTGGGCTCAGAGCAGTTAAGTAATGGGCCTAATGGAACAGCATTTTAAAGAGAAAAATAATTCAAATCAGTCTGCCTTGAACCACTGTGTCATTTATTATTACTGATGTCTCTTCCCACAAAGCTCATTCAAATTCTGTTCATTCATGCTAAATGTTCAGAAATTATTTCCATGCATAAGGTTTATATCTCATGTTACATGAATATTAGAGGAAATCTTGATTCTAAAAGAGAAAAATTCAGTATCGGAGGCATAAACTAAAGACAAGTCCCTTTAATTAGATGTTTATTTCATGTAAAATGCATACTAAATTTAAATGGAACATATGAGAGAGAAATAATATTTTAAGTATATATATATATATACCTGTCAGTAACTGTGTGAAACTTTCCCACATCTTTTATTCCAAATCATTTTATGTGCCCTAATTTGTGAGCCCACTCTCTCTTGTACTTTGACCTTAGTTTGAAAAGTATATGGGACCTCTTCCTCAGAAGTTTCAGGTACTGTATTTTGGTCAGATTTGCTACTTGTCCCTCATACTTATTTCTCTTTATCAGGGCTATTGCAATCTGTGATTTAGCACATGCAGGATAATTCAGAACATTTTCTCAGCCTAACCACATAATGTTGAATATCATTTCAGTGAAACTTCTTAAATCTTGCTTTCTCAGGGAATGCCCATTGCCCAACTTTAGATCTACTTAATCCTACCTATATTTCAGGGCCAATTATCATTTCTGTCTTCTGAACTCTGACATTTTGCAGTGAAGAATACACTATATGAGAATATTCATTTATTTTTTTCATATGTTTGATGTTTGGCACAACTAATACAAATAAGTTTATGGCAGAGTATTTTACCTTATCTCCCCAATTACAATGCTGAGAGATTCTTGCAAGAAAAGTTTTCCTCTATTTGCAAATGCCAGCCATTGGAAAGGAATATATGAAACAAAGATAGGGGAAAAGACAACTAACCAAAAAATAAGTAGATTGATGTGGCAGCAGATATTTCTGCAAAATTATCTTCACACCCCCCCAAAATATGTAATCTTCACATATTTCATGATTTGTATTTCTATTGTATCCCTTTGTATATATAGCTTATATTCCTAATACATCCCATTATATTAGAGAAATTCAAATTTTTCACTGATTTTTTTAAGCTTAATAAAAGAAACTATCTGCATCAATGATTAATAAGAGCTTTATTGATTGGCTATTTATATGGCAAATTTAAAATAAAAAATAAAAGTATCAATTTATATTACACTAAATACTATAATATTGCCACAGAGTATGTGGTATTTTCCTTAAAACTATATCATTCTATAAAATACCATTTTGATAGAGAATACAAAAATGTATATTATTAGAAAATTGCCTTTTCATCAGATTTTATATTATTTTAATATTCAAATAGTAAAGAAAACATACCTTGTGTTTTTCCGAACTAAAAAACCACGTATCCATCTTTGAACAATCAAAACTGGAGAATTATGAGCCAGAATTTCATTAATTTTTGAGATAATATGCTTGATATTATTAATTTCATCATCATAGGTTGATCCCTGTATAATGAAAATATATTTAATATTTAGTATTTCCAAGGGACATTTTAAAATTGCTAGTCTAATAATATAAGCTATCTTATAGGCATAATAGTCATATAATAAATACATTTTCTTTTTTTTTTTAGATTTTTATTTATTTATTTGACAGACAGAGATCACAAGTAGGCAGAGAGGCAGGCAGAGAGAGAGAGAGAGAGGGGGGAGGAAGCAGGCTCCCTGTTGAGCAGAGAGCCTGATGTGGGGCTTGATCCCAGAACCCTGGGCTCATGACCTGACTTGAAGGCAGAGGCTTTAACCCACTGAGCCACCCAGGCGCCCCGATAAATACATTTTCATAACTATTTTATTAGATCATAATACCAAGAATTAGTAGCACAAAATGATTTCAATTTTCTACATAAAATGCAAGATCCATGATGATAAATTTCTTCATTCTAGACTCTTTTCCCAATCTGATAACATAAATATAAAATTTTGACCATAGTCCTGTTGATCTTTAAAAGGTGGTGGCATGAGTAGGTATTCAATGAAACTCTAAAAGTATTCTGTGGTTTCCCATAGGAAACTGACATATGTTGGATTCACAGAATAATTTACAGTAGTTCAAAATTTGTTGCAGCTTAACTAGAATGTTGGACACTTTATCAGGATACAGCTCATTCCCATGGGGAGAAATATTCTGTAGTACCTTTAAAGAAATTATCTCTAAGATCTGTGCCTGCAAAATTTTAGATTTGGGATCATATAGACTCCCTATAACCCACTGACCATTTGATTGGTTAGAAATAACGCTACATTACTTACATTTTGAATGTTAAGGATTATACATAAAAAACCTAAAATTTATATTGTTTGTAAGTCACCCACCCTGAAAATTACCAACCCACCACTTCATGTCCTCTTTTCTGCCTATACACTCAATCAGCTATGTACACCCAGTAAAAGAAATCACAAAGCCTTACAAATTAGTACTACTTTGGATTTATATTTACAAAAATGCATTACTAATTAACAAAAGCTTTACATGGCCCTGGCTTGCTTCCATTCCAATAAGAGCTACTGCAATTGTTCAGTACTGTTCTCTACACTCTTTTTAAGTATTTTCCCTAGAACTCCGTAAACATCTCTTCACAGAGGAAACAGGGCCATAAATTGAACTCCATCAATCAAATCTCCTCCATTCGCTACATTTAACTGTATTCCCATTTAACTATATTCCTATCTATTCTGAATAGAAATGCCTTCTATTCAATCTTAAAACAAGAAATATTTCCCTTCCTGTCCAAGATAGGCACTCCATTGCTGTTAAGTCCCATCTCTCTCTGTTTCACTATTATCTTTTACTTTCACTATCCTTTTACATTAATATGATGTAGCCTTTTCCATCTTTAAAATGCACCCATATAAATGATCACACTTATCCCAACCCTCCATCCTTTGTATTTAACTTTCATTAAGAGCCCAGATTCTTGATATAGAATTCTGTATTTGCTGTCCCTACTTCCCCTTTCCTCTATCTCCACCCACTGGATTTTACCCCTATCAATGTATCTAATACTTTTACATTGAATATTCCTCCCTCAACTACTTCCCTTGGCTTCCATAAACCACTCCTCCTAGCTTTCCTGTAACTCCGGTTTACTTCTGGTACTTTTTTTCTAAGGTGTTATTTATTTACTTGACAGAGAGAGACACAGCGAGAAGGAACACAAGAAGAGAGAAAGGGAGAAGCAGGCTTCCTGCCAAGCAGAGAGCCGGATGTGGGGCTTGATCCCAGGACCGTTGGATCATGACCTGAGGCTAAGGCAGATGCTTAAGGACTGAGCCACCCAGGCGACTCACTTCCAGTCTTTTTAGATACCTATCGTACCTGCCTAATGTCACATTTAAAGGATTTTCTCTATTTGTCTCTTCTCAATTCGAACACACTCTCCAGATGATTGTACCTAATTCATAGCTTCACTACTTTCGAACACACTCTCCAGATGATTGTACCTAATTCATAGCTTCATTACTTTCCTATGAGCTGAGGATTCCCAGATTTCTAGCTTTAGGCCTGAACTATCTATTAAGCTAAGGAATAGTATGATCAAACCGATACCCAGATAAATTCAGCTTTCCCAAATATGAATCTTGCTTCTTAAACTGCTTTCTCAGATGCTCCTAATAAATGGTACTAGTCCACATAGTTACTTAACTCAGAAACCCTGGGACCATCCTAAGCTTTCTCTCTCTCTCTTTTTTTTTATGCTTCCTTATACCCAAATATTGGTAGATCCTCTCTAATCAATATCCTAGTATCTGTCTGACTTCTCCCTTTTCTTCTAGTCTCTGCCATTGTTTTACTGCATGTCTGTATCACTTCCTTAACTTGTTAAAAATGTCCTTATGTCTGACATAATCCCTATTCCCCAATTCCCTTTGAATCATAATATACACTATTGCTAGAGTGAACTTCCCAAAACGCAAATCTGATCATATGGCATCCCTAGCTTAATATATTTTACAGGTACATCACTGAGAGATCAATTATACATTTCTTGATTTAGAACACAAAATTCTTGATCTAGCCCCTTTTTACCTCAATTTCATCTCCCTTCACCCTACACAAGCCACTTTCCACAATGGCAATATCCAGCAACTTATACCCTTGAAAACTATCTGATAATTAAACCTCAGTGCTTTTTATAGATGCCATTGAGTTTCTTGTCTGCCGTTCTCAATTATTTATCTCACTATCTTAGGCTTTTGGAGATTCAATTCTTTCCTCCAAGAAGCCTTTCTTGACATTGATCTGAGTTCAATACCCTTCTATAATATTATCCTTGAAGCACTCATTTGTCATACCTGACAATTTTGAGTTTTACCTGAGCCCTCTGATCCTAGGAAATGGGAAAGAAGAAATCTCCTTACCCCTTCGTTTCAGAAAATGGAAGCATGCTTCCTCTATATTACTTAGATAGTAGCCATCGATGCCCCTCTAGTTTACCTATGACAAGGACCTGACACAGATTCCCTAAATTCCCATTTGCCTTTTAATGATTAAACTGTTTTGTCCCCACTGATCAATCAGAACAAAATGCTTGTTAACCAAACTTTGGTTAAGATCCTCCCCCACCTCCTCCCCAGGCCCCTGAACTTTGGCCCACTTTCAGCCAGAGCCACCATATAACCCTCCTTTAATGGCCCCTCCTAAGATAGGCAACTCTCAAGATAAAACATTCCCTGATTTATGGTCAGATCATGCCACTCCCCTTCAACCTACTAACCCACACCAGTTCTTTCCAGTCTTATTTACTCTGCCAAGAAAAAAACTTTTGACTAACCTTAATGATGTTTGAAGATTGCTGATCAATTAAAACATTCTCACTATCGCAACAGCCCCCTTCCTTCCCTTGCAATAATCTTTTTGAATAAAGTCTCTCCTAAGTCTTCATTTGTCTTTTATTTGACAAGTTTATACTATCACACAATTATTGGTCTATATTTCCCATTTGCAACTTAAACTCATTAATTTTAACAAATCATTCTTTATCCTGTATCTCTAGGACTAAGTTAACTACTTAGTTAAGGGGCATTCAATGACTAGTTGACTATTACATCACTAAGTAATGGTAACTTATACATTGTGATATTTGGTCTCTAAGTTTGATTTGGCATTATCAACCTATTTTTGTAATTCAACTCTTACTTGGCTACAGTAACATCACATCATATTCCTAATTTTTCTACCTTTTAAATGTTTATTTTTCAGTCTGTTTTGTTGGTGCCTTTTCTTTTTCAAACTATTTAACTATTTAAATATGGGTATAATTTAGGCTTTCTTTCTTTTTCATCTCTGCTAATTCTCCTCAAATGATCACCTTCTTTGCTACATCTTACTATCTCATATATGCTGATTATCCACGTAGCTATATCTTTTATTAGGAATTACCTCTTTACAATTCTATAAAATAAAATTCCAATTCTATTTCTCTACTTACATTTCAAAAACTGAAATGATTGAAGTGCCTGAGTGGTGTAATCAGTTAAGCATCTGACTCTTGGTTTCAGGTCAGGTCATGTTGTCCGGGTTGTGAGATCAAGCTCTGCAGTCCAACTCCACGCTTAATGCAGAGTCAGCTTAGCTCTCTCTCCCTCTGCCCCTCCCCTTCATGCTCTCTCTAAAATAAACAAATAAATCTCATAAAAAAGAGGGGGGCACCTGGGTGATTCAGTCCATTGAGCCTCTGACTATTGGTTTTGGCTCAGGTCCTGATCTGTGTTGAAATCCAGCCCTGCACTGGGCTCTGCACTCAGCATGAAGTCTGCTTGAGATTCTCTCTTTCTCTCTCCCTCTAAACTTTCCCCTTGCTCATGCTCTCAAAACAAATAAAGAAAATCTTAAAAAGCAAACAATTATCTCATACTGCATTACAGAGGTAGTCACTAACGCTATTCTTCACCTTGTCATCTAATAAATCCACATTCCTTTCCCCATTCCTTTTACCATCCCATAAATTTACTGATTTGTATCAAATAAATATATCTTCAATATTTTCCCTATAAACCATACCATCTACCAATTAATAAATCAGTTGTTATAAACCAGGGACCATCCCTCAATAATTTCTTTATATTTAATTTCCCTCCACTCCAAAATTACAGAATATATGATGATTTTTCTAATATGAAAATTGGATGATGCTAAATTGTTGAATATTTCCCCAGGATCTTACAAGATAAAATCTTGTCTCCCTAGTATCACACATAATATCCTTTGCCATAATAATCCTATTTTTGTCTCCAGCATCATTTGACATGCCCAACCATGTATTCTAAACTATAACACTAAATTACTTCTTGTCATGATCGTGCCAAGCTCTAGCACTACCTCTGTGCCTTTGCAAATGTTTTTCACTCTGCCTCACATATTATACACTTGCCAACACCTCAATTTGCGTAATGATTTATATTAAAAAGTCTCATCTTAAGTATACTTTTTGTTTTCCTTCTTC